TGTATTTGATTGTGTTTATTTGCAGTTAGTTACACGAATTCAGATATGGAGGTTTAATAAGTTGTACCTACACATAATTTATTTGTAATTTTGAGTTTTAAGTAATATGCATTAATAAGTATTACTTTACGCATAAAAAGTGGTTTTTAAGAGTTTTTGTAAAATGATTTATAATATAGAATATATATATTTTTTATATATAATTTAATTTAAGTTTAATAATAAAACAATTTATTTATGGTTTAATATTATAAATTTTATAAAGATAATAATTAAGTATTCTTTTAGAATTTAATGATTATACTAATTATATTTTAGAATTTTTATATTTAAAATGAGATATTTATCCTGTATTTGATTGTGTTTATCTGCAGTTAGTTACACGAATTCAGATATGGGATGAAATCGTTTATGGGTGAACGGTTTTAAGAGTTTTTAAGAGTTTTAGCCAAATGTTTTATAAAATAGTATAGATAAACAAAAACGGAACTATTAAATTTTTAATGGATAATTAAATATTTAAAATAATCTAAAACAAAAATAAGAAGGAAAAAAACTGCTGTGAACGATCAATCTCGTTATGTGTCCGGTCATATTTATTTTCAATACATTTTTTGAATTTTGAAGTTAAAATATTCAAGGGACTGTTTGTCGGTTACTAAATGGTTTGATATATAATGATTAAGTAGTTAGAATATGAACATACTTTTATGATATAATATAAAATGAAATATAATTGTTAAGAGTAAAATTAGGATGTTGAATGGTTAAGTGAGGTTCGATATACAAAATCATTCAAAGGGTTTTATAATCATATTAAGAGATAGAATTTCTTTTATCAAACAAGATTTATCTATTAGTGATTCAGATCTTGGCTTTTAATAAAACTATTAAGAGGTAAACAAACAACTCCTAAAACATCCATCGATTCGTATGATTTAATAGGATTTTGAGTTGAATTCTACTCATATCCAATGTTTAAATTGAAAGATTTCATGTATTTGAAATTTTGGGATTTCATTGAAATAATACAAACGTAGGAATTTAAAATCCTATAGGGTGATTTTTGAAATCTTTCAAAAACAATTTGTCAAATAAAATGGGTGCAAAGCAAAATTTAGGTTCTATCTTCAATGGTTTATCCATTGCAAAGATTACAATATTTAATTATATTATTAAAATATTATTTATCTTTTTTGATGTTTAATTTCAAGGATTTTCTTGTATGAATAATTAAAACAACATTTTTTCTTTTCCAAAACAATTATTTTGGAGATTTTTTTAAATTAGAGAATTTTACCTTCTTTCTTGTATTTTCTCTATTTTAAATAAGAATTATAAAAAAACCTGATAAAATAAAATATGTATTTTAAATAATCAGTTATAAATGTTTTTATATGTATATTATAATTTAAAACAAACCAAAATTTAAGGATTATTTGACGTATTGTATAACAAAATTTAGACTAAAACATGATACGAAAAATTGTAATTGTAATTTTTTTAATTAAAAAGCATTTATGATGTAAATGAAATAATTTAAGTAAATATTTATTAAAAATGTTTAAAATTTTCTATAAGAAAAAGATTGAAACATAATTTTACCACACATGCATATATCATCGTATTTTTATTATATGATTTACATGTGTAAAGCACATAAAAGTTTAGAAAATAAATTTGTTGAGGACAAAAATATCATTTAGAAAAAATAGTCTCATTTATGTAATAACTGTTTATTTTTTGACGGGATAAATAATGTCAATTTTTATTTTACATGATCTCAAACCTATGTTGTGTTGAATGAAAGACAAGTTTTTATGATACGTATGTGAATGAAAATGATATAACAATATGTGATTTGTATATGGTGTTTTTGAGTGAGAATTAAGGATGATGATTTGTCCGACCTGGTGGTGGGAACCCCAGCTCACTCAACCTGAACGTGGACGGGGATCACCTGTTAAAACGGGTCCAGGGAACCCCGATAGACTCAAACCGGGGTTGGGGCAGGAGGCGGGTATTGTACCCCCGCCCTGCCCTGTACCCGGTATACTAATATTCATTTAATAAGTATCTGAATTTTGGAAATTCTGATAGTGGGTCTCTGTTACTGTTGGACTTCAAGAGTATATGTATTAGGAAACATGGGACTTGGCCGGGTTGAGGAACAGGTGTTGACTCTTGAGTAGGGGACATGATGTTAACTAGGGGTGAGCAGCGAAACCGGGTACCCGGCTATGGAACCGGAATCGCCGGTTCCGGAACCGGAACCAATATGAGTGGTTCCAGTTCCTAAAATACGGAACCGATTGAGAATGGTTCCAGTTCCGGTTCTCAATTTTTTGTAACCGTTACCCGCCGGGTATCCGGTATTTTTAAATAAAAAAATATTATTATTTTTTAATACCAAATTTATATTAAGTTTACATCTTGAAAGCACGCCGTCATCTTCATTCTTCATATAAAATGATTCGTATTTTTTTAAATTGTGTGTTCACTTGGATTCATAGTATGTAATCGTTAAACTTTGAAAATTTACCATTATAGTATGTAATCGTTAAACTTTGAACATTTTCTATTAGTCTATTATGGTTTGTAATCGTTAAACAATATTTGTAACCATTATTATATATAATTTGTATTCTTGCTTATTTATTTAGTGTTTTGGCAACGTTTTATTTTTTATTTCTAAATAACAAAATTTTAATTTTAGGAAGCGGGTACCCGGAACCGGAACCGGTTCCCGGCGGTTCCGATTCCGGTTCCAAAAATTTAAGAACCGCTCTAACCGGTTCCGGTTCCGGTTCCAATATCTCAAGAACCGCCGGTTCCTGTCAAAAAGGTCGGGTACTCGCCTATGCTCACCCCTAATGTTAACCCCGTACCTGCCGGAGACCGGGGCCGAGGCTGGGGCTGTTACTAAAACCCGGGGCCGGGTTCGGCGATTACAAAACCTGCCCCATCCCCGCCTCGTTGTCATGCCTAGTTAGAATTTCGTCCTGTAGACGCTCGTTAATCTAGAACATGAATTCCCTCCGAGCCTTTTGTAAAAATTAGACCAACCAAACCTTATATTTCGCTTCATTTCTTGTTGAAAGTTACAGAATATCAAGAACATTTGATCTGTTTATCTGAAAACCCCCAATGAACATGGCTCCTTTCCGAATCAAAAAAAATGCTCGAGGCATTTTTGCATTTGTTAAAGATTTATGGCCTTAGTTACACAATGATGTTTTATGTATATGTTTGTTTTAATAACTTTGTTAAGTTTTGTACTTAATTCAAATACTTTTGAAATAATAAAAAAAAAAAACTTACAACCAGATATAAGTTGTAGTAGCAAGAATTTGCAATAAGATTTATGATAGATTCTTTTAAATAAACAGATTATCTGTGTGCTTATTATATTCACGTCATTATGTTTTACTTGAGATTTTAATGTGTTAAGCACATGCAACAATATACTCTGGTTTTATTCAGCATGTACGTCTTTATTTATACTGTGTAGGCATGTACGTGCATAGAAAATAATATTTTATGTGGATTTATTGTGATTTCACTAGGTTTATATTATATGTATCGACTATGGTGTCTGCACCAACCATGATGCATGATGGTAATGTGTTAAGTTGTATGAGTTAGAAACACCGCACTTGAATATAAAAGATTGGGTTATGGTGAGAAAGGAAGTTACTTGAGAAGTGTAAGAAGAAATTTCCACCATTAGATCAAATAAATGTCAACACTAATGAGGTGTACGAAGATGCACCAGATTAATTTTACTTATCATGTTATTCATATTAATTTTGTACCGTCCAGTGTCATTATTTGCTACAGCTATTACATACCGTATTATAGCTAAGGAGTGCAAAAAGAATAAACACGAAGATCACATATGAACTCAATTTATAACATATTGCATGTAGAATTGTAGATTAAAAAGTCCAAAAACATAAATAGTAACTAAAGATGTTACCATCTTAGTTTCCGTGTGATTAAATTTTTACATAGAATTACCGATTGCAATTTAAATCATACATTTTATGTATTATATGATAAATTAACCGATGAAGCTTAAAGGGGTTGTTTGTTTACCTTTTAATAGTTCAATTAAGAGGCAACATCTGAATCGTTAAGAGATGAATCTTGTTTAACAAAAAAAAATCTACCTATTAATGGTTCTAAAACACTTTAAATGATTTTGTATCATGCGCCTCTCTTAACCATTTAGCGCCTTAATTTCATTGTAAGCAATTACCAAACAATTATATTTCATTTTACACTATATTATGAGAGCCTCTTAATCATTATGACCACTTGATCATTTTGCACCAAAATTATTCAACAACTACCGAACAACCCCTAAGAATGCTACAAAATCACCTACCTAGCGTTTTCAAAGCATTTTTTTTTCCAAACGAAAGGGAGTGAGAGAAGAGAAGGAAAGTAAGGAAAAAATATTTTATTATCAAGAGATTGTTTGACAATTGCTAAATAGTTTGGTGCAAAATGATTAATAGACTCTTATGATATAGTACAAAATGAAATTTAATTATTTGGTAATTGTTTACAATGAAATTAGAACGATGAATGATTATAGGAGACTCATGATACAAAATCATTCAGAGAGTTTTAGAACCATTAAAAGACAATTTTTTTTACCAAACAAAATTCATCTATTAACGATTCAAATGCTATCTTTTAATTGAACTATTAAAAGGTAAACAAACAATCACTAAATTATTTAAGGAGATAAAGTAAAAGAAAATTAACAAAAACAATTATGATTTTTCTTCCCAAACATGCGAGGTGAGGGAACAAAAGGAAAATAATTAAATAATAACAATTACAAATATTTATAAAATTACACATCCATTTATTAATTACAATTCATTTTAAAATAAATAAGAGTATATTTATAAAATAACATTATTTTTTCATTTATTTCCTACTAAAACACGAGAATTTATTTATTTTCCTTTCTTTCCGTCCTCATAAAAACACAAATAAATTTTTATTGTTCTCATACTTTCTTCATTACATTTTTTTTCCAATTTCGGGAACACAAGGTGGATGCCATAAAAGGAAATGTTTTGAATTTTTCCTTATAAATGGAAAGTAGTAAATGATAAGGGACTAAAAGTGTACAAATCCAATAGTTTAGGTACTTTTCATGCCATGGACCAAAACTTTCTATTAGACATTTTGGGCGGGAAACGACTACTATTAACATCGATCCCTCAACCTCTCCATCTTCCTCGCATACACGCGCACTCTTTCTCGTTTTAGGTTTTCTCTCTCTAGAACAATGAACGAGAACGGTCATCAGTCGCCATCGGGATTTGAAGATGCTCGGAGTAGGCTTCGACAGCGTTGGGAGTTGGCTTCTGTTCTCAATTTCTTCAAGGTGATTCTTGGGATTTTTAATCTTATTGTTGATTTCACTACTTTCAAAGTTCGATCTTTTGTATTTACTTTGTGTAAAACGATCTACATTTATTCCTTTGGATGATATTTCGATGAAAGATTAGCGGTAAACTCAAAACCTCATATCGATAATACTTGAATCCCGCTTAAAAACCTAGATATGCTTTGTGTTGGGGGGTGTTGAGAAAAATAGAAAGGAACGACGGATAAGATCATCGAAATTCTTAATCTTAGGAAGTGGAGGAAACATATAAATATGAGTCGGGGATAGAGCATTGGAAGGGTTATCGAATTTGGGACGAGTTTGACGTACAACATGTGTTTCTATTGCGTCAATCACGAGTGTGCTATGCATTTTGTCAAAGTAGATCTTAGGGCACGAATAAGCGCTAGACACAGAGAGAGAGAGAGAGAGGGACGTATGATGCCTGAAGAACTATTGCAGATGGTTATTCGAAACCTGAAGGGCTTCTGAACTCCCAGATGATTTTGACATGCAACCATGTGTGTAATAACTAATAAGTTATAGTTATATTTACTATAAAATCAACGCATTACTTATATAAGTTCACATGTTAATTCTGGTGAAATTGTAATGCTTGGAATTTTGAATCTCAAGAGGTAAGTTTTTATTTTTCAGTTTATAGCTATTATGTATATGTATGGCTGTTTTAATGGAGTCAGAGCTTGGTTCATTCGCATGTGCATACTTTCTAACTTTTTGTTGTGGAAGTGCCATAATATGAGATTTTACGCAGGTGTTTGAGCCTGTTATTGAAGGTAATCTGAAGATTTCTGCTGAAGAGATTGAGACGGCACTTATTATACCAAACAACTCTCTTGCTCAGCTTCACGTAGCGCTCTTAAAGGTTTTTTCTTTCTTTTGTCATGCTCATGAGATTGCGGATCATTTTGCTATATGTAGTCTCTTTTGTGACTAGCTAAATTTTTATTGTTTACCCAATGATGTTTTTCACTTTGCTACTGGTGGTTAGTAACCAACAGGCCTCAAACCGGCATCACTTTCTCAAAGCCTGAAATATGCATTTTTTAGTCCACTTTTTTTGAGCACGATGGTTTTGTTATTTGCGTGTTTTCTGATATCGAGACTTTACAATTGTCAATCCACAAAGGAAATTTCACATAGCTGGTTAGTTGTAGAGTCGACAGTATTAATGATCGAAATTAACTATATTGTTAGGTAACCTGTTCACAAATGAAGAATTAATTATTGGATATATATTTACTATTTTAACTATAAGCTTTAGATATGAACATGAAAGCTATGAAAGAGTTTAATGATGACATTTGATGATCCCCTGTGACTATGAACGTAACCTTCATCTATCATATGAATCCACTACCATATTTGCCAGCTTCCTAACCTTCCCTTCTCTCGCCCTCAAACTCTCTTAACATCTTTCTTCCCATCTCTTACTAGCTACTGGATCCTACACTTAGTCTAATACCCTTTTTTATGTCTCCAAGAACTTCTATCAGAGGTCATATTCTCGGAATGTCCAATGCCGCCATGTCTATCCTCAGCTGTTAATCTTATGTTCTAGGGCTGCCCTCTTCCTTGCCCCCTTGATTGTTATGCTTTATAATCTCTTCACTTGTGCCGTCATCTGTCTCCTGCGAATGTGCCCAAACTCGAAACCACCACAATCTTTCCTTTCTCATTTTTTTTGATAGGAACAACTCTCAACTCTGCCTAGAAACCTCGTTTGTATCCTGTCTAACATGGTCCGACCAGAGGTTCATCTAAGTATGGCAGTATGCTCATTTTTGCAAATTGTAACTTTCTCAAGTAGGTCTCATTTGTCTCCCACCAGTTCGAGCCATGCCCCCTAGTGTTGTTTGCCAATTAGAATCAGCATTAACTGTTTCGCTCATTGGGTGTTTGATGTTATACTTGATTAATTGCGTGCTTGCATGAGAAAGACGTGCTTGCATTTGGAAAAGTTTTAACATTCTTTAAGATAGATTACAGCTAATGGGAATATCATCATTCCTTGTATGCTTTGAAATTCGACGAGGTTAATTGGTTTTGAATCATAATAGCTACTTAAACAGGGTGACATAATTCGAGTACAAGAATAACATTAGTTCATCTGACATCTACTCCTAGGATTAGATGTTCAATTATTATATTTATATCAAGGAACATGAGTATCAAAATGTCCCAATATTTATGGATCAGTTAATGAGTTCAATTTTTAATGCAACCTTTTGACAATGTTATGGTAGAATAAGATTCTCTTATAGCCATTGCATGGATTTATGGTATGAAAATTCCAAAGTAATGAACACAATGACACCAGCACAATGATGTTACAGACCTGAAACTGTGACTGAAGTTGTTATATGTTGTTTTGGTTGATGCATGTATATTTTAAAGTTCATCTGGTAGTATTGTCTGCATTTTATTCAAATGTTTAGAAAGCTAATCCTTATGCTAAGTTCATAAATTTTGATCTTCTTATTGTTACTTATTCTCCCATAATGCTGAATAGGGAATTCCGCCTGTAAGTAAAAACCTGAAGGACCCCAATGCTTGGGTCGTGGCGCTCTCTAAGAAGCTCAGCATGTGGTGGCCGTGGGTAGGTCACTTAATGTTTCTACTTATTACAACCAAAATTGCTTCTTTGGTAAAATAACAGCAAAGTTTATGATATTCAGGTTGCTGAGGGGGATTTTCCATTGATTGCAGCTAAAGGGTACTCTTATCTTCATTCATAAAAGGTTAACACCTGATGCCATATGGTTTAACTAACAACAAGTTCCTTTCTGCTGCCATGCGGTTATGCAGGGAGGAGACGGCAACATACAAAGAACTTGATCCTACAGTTCGTCTTGTACTTCTTAAAGCGCTCTGCGAGATTCGAGCTGATGTATAATATCCAGCCCTTCTTTTTTTCCTTTTTCTTATTGCAGTTCATGACAAATTTAGTAATTTCTGTTTTCTAGTAAGTTCTTGCTTTATCTGGCACATGGATTTAATAAAGAGTTAAAGATGCACCACTTGTACAAGTTTCCACTTGAACAAAAGAACATAGAGGGTTCTCTAATCACATCTAAATGTTTGAGGGACCTGCAAGTCTTATCTGGCCTAGAGGTACCTAGTAACCTGACCTTCTTAGGGGTCAAGGGTTTAAGCCTCACCCAAGGTGAGGAGTGTGTGTGAGTTGAATTTGCCATATGTAAATATTATATACTTAAAAGAGGCTGTTATCAATCTCCATTACAGATGAATCGTTCGAAGTTATAGGCCTGTCATGTACATAGTGTGTATGGCTTGACATAGTTGCTCTATAGGTAGCAACCATTGGTGCTTGCTCTAAAGAAGATATTTTGATGGTGAAAAAGAGAACTAAGATTTAAGTAAAAAAATGAGATGTTTTATATGTTTTGGCCAAATTGTAATGGATGCCAGAAATTGATGTTGGTATTTCTTATCTCATTTAATTACCGAATGTGTGAATTTAGTTTTATGCAAGTTTCTACAGATTAACTTCCTCTAGACTGTTGTCAGATGTCAAAATAGAGTGAAGCATGTGCTAATTTTCTTTAAATTCTTTTCTGTTCATGATAATACTTATTTTCTGTTTCTCATGCGATGTGTTATGTTTTTTCTTCACAGCAACATGATGTGGTGTCTTACATCAACAATGCAGTAAAAGTTAAGAACGAGCTTTCTACTTTCCGAAAAGATAACATTGGGAAAGATGGAAAAGGGACTTCATATTGGTGAGATTCAATGCTGCTACGATATAAAAACGCGATTGTGGTTGATAACTCATTTATGTGCTTGGCTCATTGACAGGTGTGATGGCAATGAAATCATTGGTTTTAGATTGTACAAGGAAGTAAATACTTTTAGGAAAAATGAAAAACTACCAACCATTAGTTGTCAATGGGAAACACTTGCAACCAACCTAGAGGAGTTCCAGAAAGTTGTGGTAAGTTGGATAAGTGGAAGTTAGTTTATAAATCACTTGTCAGAGTGAGGATTATAAAAAATAGGCATATTCGACCTTCTTCTCACTCTTCTTGTCTCTGTTGGTAATGGCAGGATGAATATTCTTCTAGTAAATCAAAAGTAGAAGTTGCTGTTAGCGTTGCTGTTGAAACTGAAGTCATTCCCGTTCTTAATAAACTTGAAAAGGTTTGTTTTCCAACGGGTTTTTTCTAGATTCACATGATACAATAAGAGATCAGGCGTCTAATAGCGATTCCTGGTATCTGGTTCAGAAGAAACAAAGAGCATTGCAGAAGAAAAAAGATGAAGAGAGGGTCATAAATAATTTCTGTAGAACTGGAATCACGCGTTCCTGCCGTAGTCGCAGACCTATCAGCTACACATTTGGTATGAACAGTTCTGCTTATATACCATATTTATTATTCTAGAACTATTATCATCTGGTATAATTATTGAATTTGTCTATGGTTTAATTTTTATGCTCTTTCTGTTAGAATTGACTAATCTTGTATGTTTAAAAATCTACCTTTTGTTTTTAATACAACCACAATAAATAACATCTAATGTTTTAAAGTGATACGACAAACCGTGTTCGCTAGAGCGTGCTAATGGCTTTAACATCAAGAAAGAGTCCATCCCATCAACACCTCTTAGTGCTTATATTTTCTCCTAACTGTCAATGTGAAGGCCAATTGATTTCTAGGTGCATTCAACTTTGAAAGAGAAATTGTTCTCTGATTCCTTCCCTGATGCAATCTAAGGGACTGTTTGATTGGTTTTTCATTAAGTCATGCATGGATAAAGCTGTCTGTATAGATTGGGAAGATTTTTGTTTGGAAGGGCTTTTTCATAGATGAAAGGAGCATGTTTTTTAATTGAGAGACATGTTTGGAAAAAACTTGGCTTTCTGTATAAAGCTCCCCCTAAAGCTTATTGAATAAGCCACTTTCTATATCATTAAGCCACTACCAAACAATTATGTATAGCTGAACGAATAAGCTGTGAGTTCCATTAAGCTTATTAAGCTGCTAACAATCAAGACCAGTAGATCAATTTTCAGGTGCCGTAGTTAGTAGGAAAATGGTATGAGAGCATCCCGGACCAATTTGTCACGTCGGGATTGATGAATTAGAAGGTAGACATACTGAGATTGATATATTAGTATATATTCTTAAAGGTGATGAGCAAATCTTGGCTTGATAAATGTATGTGATTAAAAAGGTTTTTCATTGCACAAGCATTAATTATGCTGCATTATATTTCTTTGACATCCAAGCTATGCTTAAATAGGGAAAGAAAATAAAGATTGCCCTTAATTTGAAGTTATCAGTCGGATATTTGCAATGTATAGATATCAAAGGAAGATAGTCTCTCGATGCTTTGATTTTCTTTCTTTTGTCTTGTAGAGGTGAGACCATTCTTTAATTTTTGCAGATGAATACGACAAGGCCATTAATGAAGCCATACGAGAAACCAAGTAAGTTGCATCTATTTCATCACTGGCTTTTCTTATTAATCCTACTGCTTTTGTTTGTTTTTTCAACGAGCTCACTTGCGAATTGATACTTTTGGAAAATTTCTAAATTAAGGAATCCTGAATTTGCATTTTTTCTCTGATCTGTGATTCAGGAGAATGAAAACCAAAGATGAACAAAGGAATGAGAAAAAAGAAAATGCAGTGAACGAGAAAAAAGAAACTGTCGTGAACGAGAAAAAAGAAGCTGCAGTGAACGAGGAGAAAGAAGCTGTAGTGAACGAGGATTCGGAGCAAGAGGATGAATCCATGGATGGCGAGTCCACTGAATCTGAATCTGACTCGGAAAGCAGCAAGCTTGAAACCGAAGATGTTTCTGAAGACAGCAGGCAGGAGTCTGATGAAGAAGAAGCTCATGCAAACGATGACGACGACGATAACAAGGAAAACATGAACCATAGCAGCGAAAACGGGCTAGTTCTAAATTCTCGTATTCAAAATGGCAGCTATAAAACAAGAGGAAGCAAGAAAATCATTGCGAATGGTGGCGATCCTATGAAACAGATGGGAAACTATGGTGCAAAGAAGCGATTGAGGCAAAGGCCTAACCGCAATACCGCCCTCGAGTCTGCGGTTGTTCCCGACTCGGAAGACGAAATTTCCAGCGATAGTTAAGAAGCGAGATGCAAATGTACAGTAGTTCTACATGGAGTTCGATTTCGACATATCGTATTCGAAATAAACATGATGGGTTTAAGATGTTTTTTTGCAGCAGCAGCAACTGTGTTGTAGTATTTAACCAACTATGAAGGGAGGAGAGGTGGAATCAATCGAATATTGGATTGTTTTGGTATTGATTTTGCCTCTTCAATTGGAATTAGGTTCTGATTTTGGCTTTATATCTTAAAGTGATTATTAAATCAAACGAAACAAGCTGAATACATTCAGGCCTGTATGAAGGTAAGGTTGAGAGTCTTAACTTGAAGAGCTGAATGTTATATGCTGATATGTTCAAAGTTTTTTGAACATGGTTGAGCCATACGATCAGAATGTAAAAATCATTGAGTTCAGTTGACTTAATCGATCTCGAATACGAGCTTATAAAATATGAATTTGTAGGTGTAATATATAATCGAAATATGTTAAATGGGCATATATATTCGAGTGAAGTTGATATTATTTTTTTCGAGTCAAACATCAAGAAATTGTCACTCGATTATTGTTAACACCTCCAAGAGCCTACTTGTTAGTAGCTTAACGAGTTTAACGAGACTCACAACTTATTAGTCAATCATACAGTGATTGTTTGGTAGTGACTTAATGTTATATAAAACGACTTAGTAAACTTTTAGGGGGAGTTTTATGTAGTTTTTTTCTTTCTAAACTTGCTCATCACACTTAGAAAATACGCTACTTCCATTTATAAAAATACTCTCTCAAATAAAAGCTTCTCAATCTATACTGACAAATTAATCCATACAAACTTTATTCTTAAATAACTTGAAGAAAAACAAATCGAAGAACCAAATCTTACTCTAACCAAAATATCTAACAACGGTTTTAAAGTGATTATTAGAAACCATAGTTAAATTTATTATGGTAATTAAAATTTTAAAAATCAAATCTGTTAGTTATAGTTTAAAATAGGGCAAATTGCATGGAAAAAATAACATAACTTGATTCCTATTTTGGATAATGTATTTTCAAAACTTCCATTTTAATATCTAAGATGTAAAGTTTTAACATTTAAGTACGCGAGTAATAGGTTGAAGCATTAACCGATTACCATGCTGATGTGATGAGTGATGTGATATCCAACTCAGGATTATTTGCTGACATACATATCTTAATCTAAAATTAGTTTTTATGTATTGTGGTTTATTAAAAGAAATAATTAATGCTTCAACCGGTTACTCAAATACTTAAATGTTTAAAACTTTACATCTTTATGTATCAAAATGAAAGTTTTGACAATATATCATCTATAATAAGACTTTTTTATGTTATTTACCCTTGAGAATATCAAATCAATTTTATATTAACTTAATCCTGAACATTACAATCAAATTCGATTTTTAGCACAAAATATATTTTGCCGATAATTATATTTAAATATTTAATTGATATTTATTTTGCGTGGGAGACGCATCACGCATGTAGGGGAAATGCGTTTGACTCAAAACATGGATACCGAGTTGCGACTCACCGACAACGACGATTCTCGTTCCTGAACCACCACAGAAATGGCGACGAACGGCGGAAGTTCCAGGGACGCAGCCGCTCGAAGACGGAGAATCGCCGAGAGAGGATCGGAGCGTCTGGCTCTCATCACTGGTCGTGTCCAGTCCATATCATCATCTCCGTTGACTCCTCCTGTAGCCCAGCCGCATCACTCTTCTACCGCACCATGCCCTCCTTCCATTTCCCGGAACTCTGATCAGGTCCCTACCTCCGGTATGTGTTTCTTTGAGCAGTGATTTTTAATTTTCGTTGATGATTAATTTCTTTTGAGGATTTATGTTGTGTATCCGTACGTAGTTTCTGTTAAATTGAGAACTTTTGAATTGGAGATAGTAATTCGATTCCGTTAGTGTCTTGTAAGATCTCGATTGTGGTTGATATACATGTGCACTTATGAGCTGTTTGTTGTTGTTGATGATGCAATTGTTGATGATCAAACCTATTAGATCTGTGGATGATTGATGCAGCAAACTTCATGTTGTGATATGTTGATTTCATTTTTTATTTTGATTTTACCAAGTCTGTGAGATGGCAAGAGGCAATTTGGGGGAAGGTGATCTAAAACAAATAATTAAAGTGAGCTCGAAGGAAATACAGGAGATGACGAAGCCATTGTTGAGAGATAGTAAATTCGAAAATGGAACTACTAACTTAAGGAGAATTGAGTATGTGAGATTGGCAGGAAAAATTAAGTGTTCTTCGTTTGGCCAAAACTAAAACCTAATACACACTCTCAATGGAGAAAATGTTAATGGTTGAAGAATTCTGCCCCAAAATTATCAAAGTCATTTTGTTATTCACTTTTATCAACCATTCCAACTTTCAATGCTGTTGAGACGTTCTACCTCCACATCATGCACCATGTTAATCTGAATAACTAGAGTGGTGGCAGTAAACTGGAGGAAAGTTTTGCTGATGGGGAGAAGGGCTATCTCGAAAACTAGAATAGAGGGAGGGGATGGCTGGGAAAACAGGGGGTTGTCACAAAAGTTCAGTAAAAAGAAATTTTTTATTTTAATCTTTTCTGTCAATAAAACTAAATTGAAATCAGAAGAATCTGTTGTCAATATGCAGTTGTTTCACTTTGTTCAGTGTGGACAGAAATTGATGCAATGCTGCAGGTAGCTTGGGGAAAGTAAGCCTGTCACACTAGTTATCCAACTTAGAAAAGGAAAACATAACCCAAATATGTTTGTGTGTGTGTGTTGTATCTGCGAACAGTCGGTCAGAATTATTGGATAAGTAGGTTCTCCCTTCAATTAGAGTTATTATCTTATCGATTGTTTAGGCCAATGTGATAGCCAAGTGGAAAAGCCCCCTGTTTGAATGAAAGGTCATGCATGTCACTGATGTGATAGCCAAGAGGAATGTGAGCTGCATATTGAGGTAATCAAGTTTTAGAGAAGCAATGTGAAGTCTTTTCTTTTGTTAGCTCCTTCATTTATCATACTTTCTTTTTGGTAGTCTTTGCTTACAACTTTGTATGACCAATTATATAAGCTTAAAATTAGAAGCCAATTTTTGCATTCATCTAATCATCTTTTGTAAGTTGGCACCATATTGTGTTATCTTCGCTTATTATTTATCTTCCTTGGTTGAAATGTACAAGTTCCGAGAAGCATTATGGGATTTGAACAAGCATTAACGGTCTTCTACATAACATTTACCTACATATTGTTTCCTTCAAAACACACATGTGCATATGAACGTGTGCATATGCATGCAAGTACATATTAGATACACAAGGAATAAAAGACTAGGGCAGTGGTCGGATCCAAAAGGTTTGTAACCTGCGCCAGCTTTGATGTGAACCTTCTGTTAAGCAATTGTAGCAATTTAATGAAATCAAGAATTGTTCGGTGCATGCTCTGCTCTCCTACATCGGTTATTCTCCATTTCCTCTTCCTTTAAAATATGGTTGGGAGGACAATAGAAGAATCTTGTATTTACACATTCTATGTTGGTAGGGTTTGCATTTTGCTAACACATGGCATTGAGGTCAGACATTCATACTCCATCCATCCTAAAAATAGATGCAACGTTCGAGTAAGTTGATGACGGTGATTAATTATTACTCAAAATATAAAATGTCCTTGATAAATGATGAAACTAAGGACTCTTTTGGACCTAAACTAATGCGATATTTTGTAAGATTGCTAAAAAGGGAAATGTTGCATTAGGACATCCCAAAAAGGAAATTTCCCCATTTACTTTGGTATGGAGTATGTCATTGTCTTTGATCTACAAAGTGTTTATCCTGGCATTTTATGCTAAATTTAATTGAACACGCGATTTCATTCTGTTTGACTCGTTTTTGCAGATGAAAACACCGTTTCACCTTTAAACACAGAGACTGCTGGTGATGATGTTGAGAATGATGTCCAACCAGTAATGCCTAAATGTGAGACAATAACCGAAACCTATCCACAACCATCTTTTACACCCAGCAACACACAATCATTTAGCACCACATTAACAGAACCGAACCCACCAATATCCACCTCCAACAAGTCACAAAAGTCTGAATCACAAACCCGTCTTCACGAAACTCTCACTCCTAATCGAATACGTCCTGCCATTACAGCATCACAAGACATCCGAAAAATCTGTTCTGTTATAACTGCCCTGTTAGTTCTGTTTTCATATGCAGGCTTCCCTATTCTGGGCAGCGACATTATAAAGAATCTCGTACTTTCTAGGCCCCTGATTCTACTCCTATTGACCAACATAACCATCGTGGCTGCACCTTTGCTCTTGGAAAAAGTGAAGCAGAAAGAACGTCGGGGATCTGCAATAGGCGAGACGGGTTTTGCCAGTAATCTCGGTACAGCTTTGGAGTGGGGTATGTTGATGAAAACCGGTACAAGTGCTTTGTTCATGGATTGTAGCGTTTACTCGGTGGTCGTTATTTGTGGCATCTCTTTCCTGCAGAAACTTGGGTGGTAGAATAGTTGTGTGTTTTCTTTAATCATCAAGTTTTGGGTTACATTTTACAATGTGTTTGTACCTTTGAAACCCTGATTGCTTCCAACAAGATGCCAAGGCATACAATACTTATAAATCGTTAAAGTAGATGCCAAAATGGCCATCATAACTGCTGCTTTGGGTGAAGCAGTTTCTTGCCATTGTAGAATTACTGCCAAAGTTAGGGGCAAAAGTGGAAAAAAATGAAAAACCAGGGAATATTTTAGTAACCATTCACATATATATATATATATATATATATATATATATATATATATAGATAGAGAGAGAGAGAGAGAGAGAGAGAGAGAGAGCACGAGCGAGAGGGGGGGGGTTGGGTTCAGGTGAGACTAACCTGTTTTCGTGAGACTCGGACCATTTTTTAACACTTGAAATTTCACAGCAAAACACTATGAAGTTAAAAAAACCAAAACATTCACAGAAGAAATTTCAAGTGTAAAAAAGTGGTCTCATGAAACAGGTTGGTATCACGTGATCCCAAGTTTATATATATATATATAATCAAACAAGAATAATTCTACAAAAATGTGAGAACATCTTCTCTAATATATCGATCACATTTGATATTGCAATCCATCATATGTGATACTAATTCAACAGGTGACCTTTGGAGCGACCTCGGTAGCCCACATACCACAAGGTCCCCTTGCGTTTGTTGTCACATGGAATAAAGATGTTTTAACATTTTCACAAAACGAAGGTGTTCTGATTCCAATCTCCACGTCTATACATATTGAAATGAATAATATGATTACAAGGAAAGAGGATGTATTTTTTGGTTAAGTGTTTTGACTGTAAGTACCTGTTTGTGGTGGGGTAGCTCTTAACAATATCACATTATGGACCAAAAATAGCAGGCGAGTTGCCATAGCAGTAACCAAGCTATCTGATTTAATTAAAAAAATGGTTTCCCATTTAAATATTCTTCTCATAAAACGATTTAAACAATTGTTTCCTTGGTCTTTGTACTTGTACAAAAGCTTATTACAATGCTGACTTACTCCTTACCAAAATTCATTACCAAAAAACCTGCAACTAAACCCCCCCAAGGATTCCTTACCAGATCTTTCCGGAACATCGAAAAAAGAACACAAAACAACTCAAAACCGATCCTAGCGACCACCTATGAATTCGCAACTAGTTCCTCGTTATGTGTTGCTTCAACGTCTTCACTTCCACCCTCAATTTGCTCGGGTTTTGGAGACCAACCGTACGCCTTCCTTCGTGCATCCCTACGAGCAACCCTCTGTTCTATTCTCATTTCTTTGAATTCCTCTGCAAGTGTGGTTTCCTCCTCTAGTGGAAAGAAAGAAACCTCCATGTTTCCGAGCTCTTGATACATCTTCTCGATCTTGGCTTTCCATAAGAGACCCATCTCTGTGTCCATCTTCTTGTATGGTGTCTTTAGCAGGTATTCATCGATCCCGCCTGCTTTGTCTATACAGCGAAGAGCATGTGTGGTTACTTTTACGCGAATATGGCGGTCCAGAATATAACTGAAGAGTCGCTTCTCCTGTACGTTGGGTTTCCAGTTCCTCCGAGTCCTGTTACCATGATATATTTACCCAATCAAGAAAACTTCGTGTTCATATCGTAACATACATTCTATGCAGAAAAAGGGTAAAATGTCGGAAGAAAAAAAGCAATGTAGTTTTCTCTTCTAAATGGTTATTATCTAGGGAAATAGAGTATAAACCAAATGAACTAAGGGCTTGTTTGTTAGCAGCTTAATGAGCTTAATGGGATTCAGCTTATTCGGTCAGCTATACATGACCGTTTGGTAGTGGCTTAATAATATAGAAAGTGGCTTATTCAATAAGCTTCTAGGGGGAGCTTTATGCTGAAAGCCAAGTTTTTTTTTTTCCAAACCTGCTCTTCCCAATTAAAAAACATGCTCATTTCACCTAATGAAAAAAAAACCTCCCAAACAAAAACCTTCCTAATCTATGCAAACAGATTAATCCACACAGATAACTTTATCTATACAGGACTTAATGGAAAACCAACCAAACATCCCCTAAGTATGTCCCACCGAGAGAATGGGGTGGGAGGGGGGAGATAAATGTAAGCATACCCAATCTCTACCCTAAAGAGTTGAGTGGTTATTTCTGTGAAGACCATCGGCTAGTGAAAAGTGTGAGAGAAAAAATAGAAGATAGAATGATTATTATAGACGGGAAGACCAAGACCACATCACTAATGGAGGTCCCTGTCGTCATCCCATAATCACAAAAATAACCAAACTAAACTAAGCCAATATATCTCACTCGAAAGCAGGGAGGGTTGTATACAGACGTGATGTCTACCCCTAAGGGTAGCACGATTACGTGAAGACCAATCATGAACATCAACCCTATCTTTGATGTCTCAAATTGCAAAAAATACTACAAAGAGATTATCACCAATATTAATCGTCGTTGTATGCCTTTTTTGGTAACTCATGTGGAACATGAATGGCTTTAAAGAAGTTTATACCATGAGTTTCGAGATCCTCACATGGCCAATTAATAATGGAGTGGAAAAAGTGCTATTCTGTGTTCAATAACAAAGGCGACTAACAGGTGGTTAATGACAACATATTAAATTGGAAATAGTATTCGATCGACAAATACCCCACGAAGGGAAGTTGGGGGATCTCCATCCTGAACTAGATGATACAAATGTTGTGTGCCAGATTAGAGACAACAAACACTTAAAAAAAGAGCAACTAAACATGCACGGTGAAATAAGCAGACTGGCAGGCATGTAAAAGTGCAGAACCATACAGATAAAAGTTGCCAAAGAATACTACTCTTAGGGCATTCTAGGCATAAATTCTAGGAGATAGCTAACAGTCTTTCAGGTCGAATAACATCTGCTTAAAGAAATGAGAACTTGAGATGCTAATTGGAAAACAAGCAAACAAAAGACTATACTACCCTTTGCATCATAAACTGAGGCCACTTGTGCACATGGTTTTTGCAAAAAATATAGCTTAAGGTCATCCTTACTTTTGGAAGTAACAATCTGAAGAGCTCAACTTCCCATATCCTAGTAACAATTACGAAAGTTTCACATCCCAAATCTTTTTTATATTTGGAAGAAACTTCATTCTTTGTTATATGGATGACAAATTGAATAATTGATTATCACAATTTTGCCTCAGTTTATCTGTGGGATTCCCTAACCCACAAACAGTTGTTTGATACTTATCATCTAACATTTGCCATTCGCCATAACAAAGTACTAAAACACGGGACTAGATTGTGGTGTTGTTAGTTGCTTTGTACTCTTCCGAGAACCAATATTCCTGTCCACAAAAACACAGTATCCCCAAATGGTTGACCATGAATTCCCAGGAGATACAGGAGGGCTTAGTGAGGCACAATGCTAGAGCATCACTTGGCTGAAGTATGAAGGGTCCAACGAGGCATGAGCCTTAGGCTTGAGGCAGAAGGCAAAGAGAGGGCCTTTTCACATGAGGCGCATGACTGTTGAAACAATTAAATTCCTAGGGCACATTAGAAAGGAAAGAGAAGGTACTCTGCAACCACACACCAGCAAAGCAGTGGCCTATTACCCTTCTCTCAAACAACACGAACCAACAACCTCTAACATAGCAGCAAGACATTGAATCCTCTCTTGGTTTTTCTGTTTTAATTTAAAGCAGGCCGATTCCCTGAACTCTTACTCTCTTAGTTCCTCGGTTGATTTTTCTCTAAAGCAGGTTAGTTCTCTCTGTACTATTTGATTATCCTGTAATCTATATGTAAAGTAGAGATTTTTGTATTCGGAACAAACTATTTCAATGAAATAATTGGGAAGCCTTTTCAACTTCCATATAATAATCTTTGGTGTGTTCAACTATTGTGCTATTTCTTGTAGGTACTTCTGGTGTCCTAATGCAAATCTTTGTTGTGTAAAACTATGGCATTGGAACTAAAAAGATAATTCTAAGAAGAAAAATACGTATAAACGATAACAATAAAAAAGCCGTAACATTAGGGACTCCAATGCCATAGTTGCTTGATATGCTTTTTTTTATTACAGCTTCTAGTTGGACTAGTTTCTCTATTCGTGATTTGAGATTCTAGTCTAATAACGGATGGACTTTGTTTCTACAATGCCAATTACAGGTAATTAATTGAAGGAAGCCATGTTTGATTCTAGTGAAAGGGATAATTTGTCCCATTCATGATTGCTCTAAAGTTAAGTGAGAAGAATTGGGCTCCTTGGTAAACTTTTGTTGGGCAGCACCTTATAAAAGGCCACTTTCATTATTTGACCGACGATTCACCCAATTCCACTGAGGAACAGATTGCTATTAACAGCGGTATACAATGTACCCTCTCGGAACTATTAAAATGGACAATGTGACCACCATATAGCATGGAACTGTACAAAGAACAACACTTGACATTAACTTACTTTAGGAAGACTACAACATTTTATGTGTATTAGTGTATCCTGTTTTTCATGCCTTTTTTTTCTTTCCGATCAAGGTTGTCATTCTCTTCAGGAGTATTACACTTGCTTTAGTGAACATATTGAAGTTTTTCACTTAGACCTCAGAGTCGAAAGTTCTTTAGTAACATTAAAAGAAGCTAAAGGTGCTGACTTTTACTGTGGGATTGACTGTTTCTCATGATCTATTGATTCTGAAAACTGCTTAACCATCCGCGGGATACCTTTATTGGTTCTTGGTTAGTCGGTTGTGCATGCTAAGAAAGGAGTATCTTCTTATTGACCAAGGTCAAGTAATTTTATGCAAGATATTCAAAATCAATCCACTAGCATGGGTGGATGTAGCAGTCTTAATATCAATAATCTAGAAAGACATGTCACATTTATTACATGGTTAGTGACCCAAATATCCAACCTTCATCATTAATTTACCCTGCAACAAACAATCACCAAAGAAATATGTTTCTTCTAGGTATATATATATATATATATATATATATATAGGAGATGGATCGTGTCAGAAGGAGAGTTAGTGATCTGGACTCTTGATGACCTTTAATAAACCCAACCATTAATCGCGCTTGATACATGGATTGATCCGGTGCATCTCATCCTAAAGAAACACCTTCGTAGCCTTTAAATGCAATTCAAACGGATTAAAGTACTCATTCTGCGAAACACCCTACATTTCTACTAACATAGAATTAGCATGATCAATTTTACTATCAGCTTTGTAAATCCTAGCAGAGTTGGTTTCAGTCGCAAGTCGAATCTAAGTAGAAAATTATCATTTGATTTTCTAAATAATGAAAGATTAAGGATCTATAAAAGAGACCGAGAGTGTGTGAACTAACTTGTTTCCACCTTTCTCGCTGACTTGATTGCCGAACTGAATATGACGTCCGGCAAAAATTCCTCGCTGCGCTCTACCCATCACCACCTTGCTGTCCGGCAAACACTTTTTCAGTGATTCTTTCACCCCTGACTCCAAATTCTTCTCGCCGCCGATCTTCTTCATTATCTTCTTCACCATCTCCTTCGACCTGAACGCCATTCGATTTAATTTCTGCGTTTGTGTTGATGGAGGAGGATGAAAGATTCAATTTATGTCTGTGTGTTTGAATTAAAGAACGATTTGTTAGAAATTTTTTGGGGGTTTAGGGTTTTCTGAGAATCTCACTATTTTACATCCTCAAGTAATTTACATAATTCGTCCCTAATTTATTGCAATTCCTCAACTTGTAAAAACGTTAAAATGTAAACATGGTTTATAAATATAGGGACCAAATATATAAATTAATTGTAACACTTCCTCAAGTGTTTTGTGGACCTTTATTTCATTTACAGATTTGATCCCTAGACTTCAGAATTTTTATATTTTGATCCCTTCGTAAATTGAAGAGGTGCAGGTGATATTTTTCAAAATTTGGAGAGAGATATGACAGAGATGAATTCAAAGCCTGAAAATGGTTATTTCTATTAAATTCAATTGTGTTTGGAGTGAAATACATTCAGTATGCAAGTTTTTCTTCTTGTTAACTATGGATGTTTAGGTCAGTTTTGCGTGCAACTTAACTAATTCCAAGGATTCTGGAGAATGATTAGGAAAATTCTCCGTGATATTGTAAGATTCGAATCGTGACTTATGAGGAAAAGCTCCAATAGCACAAGCTTTATTGTCGATTAAGCAAATTCTATAAAATTTATGCATGTTGATCTTTTGTATACCTTTCAGACCACTCAAACCAGCAAAACAAATAAATTACGGTCTATTTGGCTCATACTGAGAAATGAAAATGAAAATGACCGCCCCCCAATTTAACCATGAATGAAATTTTGGGCATATGGAGGAATGAGCCTATTCTATTATAGAAAACCAAACAGTTTTTTTTTTTTTTTCTTTTTTATATATTACTGCTTAATACCTCTAACCAAACACCCTGTTAATATTTGAGTAAGAGATACAAACACTAAGTTTTAGAGTGGTTCACACATATATCACTTTATCCCACTTCAAGACACGATGATCCACTATGATATGTTCTTTTAACAGGGAATAAAACCGTTGTATGATAAATGAAACGCATCCTTCCTTCCTTCTGACAAGAATTGAAATGGATATTTCTTATAAGCCGATTAGTCGGTTTACCCACCAAACAAACAAAAAACTCGATTAACGTATTTACCATTTTAACTTATCGTTTAACGTTAAAGGAGTTTAAATCATTTGAGAACTCTACATATTGTGATAAGCGTGAACATTTTTATCTTAATGTATTGATGAACATATATTTGTTTCACAATGTGTTTGTTTTATATGTATGCGGTTCACAATGTAAAGCTTTTGTACATGTAAATTTTGTTTCACAAACAGACTAAAAAAGTTCACATTGTAAAACAAATATAAATCAATCGATATTCTAAACGCCAGTTCTCAAAATTATCATAAAAACATATAATTAATTAACAAAAGAGTATTTATTTATAACCTTTACAAATACTGATAAACCAACACAAAAGAAGGTTACAACAACTCCTTCATAAATACCCTTGAATGCTACACCATATAGATTCTTGAAAACACACACACACACACACTATATATATGTGTGTGTGTATGTGTATATATATATATATATATATATCAATATATAATGTGTTTTGCTGCTATATTTATTAATATGGAACCCAAACAACATGATCTTCAGGTAAGAAATGGCAAATTGGAACACTTCCTGGTTTCACTTTAAGTACTTGAAACGCCAAATGTTTCGGGTTCCATTTTCCGGTGTCGGTATGGCACACCGCCACCGCTTTCGCGGTGGTGCCATCCGCACCCACCAACGAAACCGAATACGCTCGAGTGCTGACGGTTTTGTGGCAATAAAACACGGCATACGCGTAGTTTTGCTTATGGCAAACCACCGCTTTATCTGCCGCGAGTTTCTTGGCACCCGCGATCGTGTACTTTTGTAATGGGGTGCTTTTCTTTGCGTTCACCTCCGTCGAGATCGCTTTCACTTTCTTCCCCAATTCGTTGGTACTAAAATCGACCATCGACTCCATGGAAGTCGCGCAATATTTTTCCTCGCCTTCGATTCCCTTATTCTCACATTCGATAAGTGTTTGCTTCATGAGTTCTGCTTCCATTGAGTCGGGTTTGATCGAGAAATCTTTAAAGATTTGCGGGATTTCGTTTGACGAAAAGGGTATCGAATCGGCAACTTTTCGAGGTAAAAAGGTTGATTTTTGGTTTGTGTTTTTTGTGAAATGTAAGTTCATTTCTTTGCCTTGTTGCAAGTCTTTCTCCAAGAAAAACAATGCTACATTTGGATCATCCTTGAGTTGATCCGCGGATGCAGCATAACGGTAATTGAATGGATTCGCTCCGGGATGAACCCCGACGTAAACCGGCTTCCCTTTGTGGCCGCTATGCACCGCCACGCCGCCTTTCCCGACACCGACATCAGTGCCTTTCCCGGGTTTTCCGGTGTGCACCCCCACGCCGCCTTTCCCGACACCGACATCGGTGCGTTTCCCAGGTTTTCCGGTGTGCACCGCCACGCCACCTTTTTCGACACCTACATGGGTTCCTTTCCCTGGTTTTCGGGTGTCAACTGCCACACCGCCTTTGCCGACTCCCACCGCGGTGCTCTTATCTTCCGTCCATTCTGCAAATCGACAAATTTATTTCCGGCGAATTTGTACAAATTACACGATTGCAAGAAACCACTAAGATATGATGAGAGAAATTAAAACTATGACATGATAGGGTTTATATAAAACCCTAAATATTTCTAAATATTTTTAAAATTGTGTATGTAAAAGTGTTACAATAAGTTGATACGATGATGATTTTGTAACCAGTTTTTTAAAATACTTTTGAAATAAATTTTGCTATTATTTTTTTCAATAAGATATTAATTTTTATAATATATATATTTTTTAAATAATATCATATTAAAAAACTAATATAAGTACATATGTGTTCTATCAATATATTGTAAAACATTTATATATAACGTATAATTATTTGATTTTATAAATCTAATTATAAAATAATCTATTAAAATATTTATATATTTACGGATCTTTTACCAAATGTTTATCAGCGAGAATTACACCGTCACTTACCTTTTTAGTTAACATTCTAGGCAGTGGTGGACCCAGGATTTCGTCGAGCGGATGCACCTTTAAGGTGGATCAATGTTTTAGCCGAATTTCACCGTTTTAGTGGATTTTTTTAAAGCTTTTTTGGTTGATTTCTAGATTTTTTTTCCCAAAGTTTAGTTGGTGCTTCTTTAATTCTCCAAAAGAAATTCTATTTACAAAAACAAACTGAGCAGGTGCACTTAACTCCACTTGGGGCTTAATAGGTCCGCCACTGATTCTAGACCTTCAAAATGGATTGTTGATAAACATATCTTACCTAATGAACGCTTACCAAGTAAGCACATATTACGTAAGATTCTCGGTCATGACAATAGCTCACCCAATAAGATAAGTGATACCCAGTAACACTTACCTGATTAGCATCTTATAAAGTCAATTTTGTTATAACGATATTTAATAATTATGAAAATAGAGATTGAACCTGCTGGAGTGTATAGAAGATCCTTGATTGCTTTGGGCATATGACTGTTTGGCAGCACAGATTTCCAGTAAGCTTCAGGAGTCACCACTCCATAACTGATCCCTACAAGTGCTACCTGTTATCCCAACAACAATAATTAGCTCCAAAGCATTCCAACATATACATATACATATACATATATATACATA